AACAATTTCTGATAATAATAGGGATCAGAATGTAATAGGAATGAAGAGAGGCCAGTTGGAGTGGGGATCATCAGATTTTGGCCAGGTGTCGAATGCAACATCATGTGATACTGATGGCATGATATCAATCAGACCCATCCGTGTGCACACTGAAGTCACACAAGGTGATAGTAGGATTAGGGGTGAAAAGCAAGGCAATAAGTCAGAGGACGAGAGAAGAGCAGACAGTATTGCCCCTGGCAAGGTTTAGGGACACACAGTTAAAGTACCTGAGATCATGTAGCTAACAAGCTGTAAGGCAGAGCCAAGAATCAGATAAAGTTTTTCTGGCTTCGAGTTCAGAGTTACTTCCACTTACATTACTCTCTCGGAGAGCAGCTTTCTGCAAAATGAAAAATGATCAAGGTAAATGTTAAGGAAGGGGGAAAAGGAGCACAACAGAGGCTAAGCATCAGTGAAGGCATCCCCAGGACCTATCACAGACAGTGGGCAGTGGGGGATAGAGGGACAGTAAGATGGCGGGGCACATGGTGAAGTCACCTCAGCTGCCTTGGCCTGCTTCTCAGATTTGCAGAAGCCCTCTCTGCAGTCTTAGTAAGTAGCTGATTAGTCAAATTTAGGTATGGTCTATGACTTGTGCATGGTAATAGCTACAGCTCTAGTTATGAAAAATAAAATGCTTGTCCCTTGTATTGGAGTGTTTTAGAGAGCAGTGAGATCACCGAACCTACGAACAGAAGAATGAGATCTTAAAAGGTAATTCAGGGATCAGTGCCTAAAAGTGGAAATGGGGAATTTTTGTGGCATGCTACACCATCCGATATTTGTCCTTTTCTACTGGCTATACATTTTGTTCTCTTAAAGTGATGAAATAATTTGCTAGAGCTGCCATAACAGCCATCACAAAGCACCCCAGACTGAGTGGCTTAAACAACGGAAATTTATTTTTTCACAGTTCTGTAGGGTGGAAGTCCAAAATCAAGGTTTCTGTGAGGTAATTTTCTTCTGAGGGCTCTCTCCTTGGCTTGGAGATAGCCATCTCCTTACATCTTCATGTAGTCTTTCTTCTGTGTGTGTCTTTGTCTTAATCTCCTTTTCTCATGGGAACATCAGATTTATTGGAATAGCGCCCACCCTAATGACCTCATTTTGACTTAAGTACCTCTCTAAAGGCCTTATCTTCAAATATGGTCACATTCTGAGGACTGGGGATTAAGATTTCAACATGAATTTTGGGATACACAATTCAGCCCATAACAGGTGACAATTTAAAAAGATTGCATGCAAATAAGTTGACAATAATAATTGCTTCCATGGCAGGACAAGAAACCTGAAAGGTCAGAGGAGAATTTACTCTTCATTGTATAATTTTTTGTATTGTTTTACTTTTGTTATGTATTTATTACCAAATCAAAAGTTAGAGAAAATCCACGTCTATCGTACCTCTTTGCACTTAACAAATATTTATTGAATAAAATTAGCAGAGACACAGGGTGACAGTCTGCTGTGCCTTAGGGATTCGGATCTGAAGTTCCCCTATCAGTACGGAAATGGTGCCTGCCTGGGAGATCCTTGTGTAACTTTCTCTGAATAAAGTAGACTTTCCCTATGGATGGCAAATTCCACCAGGCCTGGATAAGGACACCCTGACCATTTTATCCCCAGGACCCATCACAGAGTTGGCACTCAGATACATGCTGTATGAATGAATAAATCGCTGAGTTCAGTAAGTGGAGCAGCTTTGGGGAATGAGACCCTTTCTGATGTGTTCTTTCCACAGAAAGTGGCAGTGGGGAGAGTACTACATTTTGAATAATTTACTTAACTAAGTCATGACAAAAGATTTAAGGGGAAACCACTTAGTCTAATGTGCCCTCTTTTTTGTCTTTTGGAAAAGAAGAGATTCTGCCTTCTTTTGGGTTCTTTTTAAATAAATGCCCATGACACTATTGCTATTCTATATTTTGAAAAGTTAGGTAGATATAAGGCAATGGCAAATTTCTTCCCAAATCCATCAACCCATATCCCTTTTCCTGTCTTTCAGTTTTCCAAAATTATAAATTTGCTAGAAATCTCAAATTTTATCATTGGCAACAAAATAATCATCAGTTTTCCTTGAAGCCCACCTTCTACCCCGAACTGCCTCTCGTCTTTTGTTGATTTAGGTCTGGGGTCTTCATAGGAGAATTTAGCTTCTCTCTTTTTCCTCAGAGAGCACTACAGCACTTTTTAGCTCAGTTCTGAGAGTCTGTAATAGGAACAGAAACTGTAACTGTTACTGTTTCCTCTCACCCCAAAGTGCCTTCGAGTTGAAATTAGAGTGTTCGGATCATGCCGTGCATGAGTTGTAAATTGGAATGAATGAATTATGACATTGGCCCTTTTGGTCCTCACACAGGCCTGAGGTTGTCTCAGGGAGTCACCTTAACAGGCTTGGACACATGTAAGCTCAGGCCTGCCTTTCACTGTGGTGTTTGCTACTAAGTACACCAACAATTTGTGGTGTGCTCTCCACTCAACAGCTTCCTGCTGTGTCTGGAGGCCCCCTCCAGACCTACCTCCATTTGGTTTCATCCAAATTGGGAGGTGACTAGATGTCTGTGTCACTGAAGACCCAAGGAGGCAGCATATTTTTGCTAAAAACTACAAAATGTGTGTTTATGTTCTTAAGAATAAGCTGTAATGTATCACATACTCAGCTTTAGAATTGATGAAAGGACACAGTAGTGAAAGGTGACATGTTATCTGCCCTTAGCTGGAAAGATGAGGGTTGAAGACAGACTTATGTACCATAGCTCTCATCATAGAGGTTTTACTTTACTAGATTTACCCTTCAGGATATTTGTACATTTTCTCAAGAGGAATGGCAGAACAGAAATAAATTCTTCATGAGTATTTTTTAAATGACATTATTAAACACCAAAATTAGGATGGGAAGAAGGAGAGTTTAGGACTAAAGAAGGGTTAAAAATGGATAAGTGACATCCGTACAGCTAATAAAGTTACCAAATGTGTGATGCCACTAGACTGTACAAACCGCTCAAGGGCAGGAACCAAGTTTTTATAATTTTTTTATTGTTTTCTAGTATCCAACATGATGCCTACATCTTCTACAAATCTTCTACAAATTTTAATGCAATGGACATTATTTTAATTGTATCCTACGTTCAGAGCTGAGCAACCTGAGACCTCAAGTGGAATCTCTGGGGTAGTCTTCAGTTTGGGGAAATGCTAGATACTGTAATTGATGGCAATGAAACTTCAGGCATTGAAAAGTAAAGTTTAAAAGGAATCAGGGAACATATCATAGCTGGCTTCTATAGCATATTTATCATCAGGTCACAGAGTGGCCAGCTCTGGAGTCTATCGCATTGACTAGGTGAGGGGAATTAAGAAATTCAAATCGATGGCAATTAAAAAAAAACACTTTAAAAGAAGTGGCAAATACTAATGCTCATTTAGGATGGATCAACTGTACCTAAATACTAGCAAAGGTTCTATGGTATTTGGTATAAAGAAAACATAGCTCTTCTGATAGAATTCTGGAAAAAATATGGTCCATTTAAAAATAGTTCATTATTGTAGATAAAGGGTTTACGCGAAGCTTTATCTCACAGAAGTCAAGTATGACTATTAAAAAAACACATGTCTGGAAAATAGATTCCAGTGGGTCACTTCTTAAAAAGAAAACCAGTACTGAAAACTGGGGGAGCATGTTCCAGATTACGTGTGTTACAGGAAACAAAGAATATGGTGATTAAACTGAAAAGGGAGAAATGTAAGCAAGTAATGGGTCAATTATCAATGGAAATACTGTTCAAATGGTGCGGAGGGTAGATTGGACTCAATTCTGGGTTTCAGTTTTGTGGATATGTTTCTTTCTCATACCTGGTCTGATTTACAACATTTTTGAATGATAGTCACCTAACAAATTTTCCTTTGATCCCTGAAGACTCACGTTTGTCTCCGTCTTTATTTATCTTGGCCATCAGTTATTATAGAATAAGGGAGATGATGTCGATTCTATAAGATAAAGAATTGACCAGTCAGCTTCATGCTCACAGCTATCAAACTTGGTTCTTAGAATCCACGTTCTCAAGTCTGGCTCTTTGTTTAGAGACAGAAAAAATCAACAGGATAGCTTGGGAGTAACATTTCCCCATCGTCAGTGAGGAGTGATGAGCTGTCAGTCTATTAGTATCTCATTAGTAAATGTGTGAACAATTGAAAGAGTTTATCTGATGACTGACCAGTTGTGAAATTTAGCACTGAGTATTTGATTCTTAGGATGAAGAGAATAACTTGGGAATTGTGTTTCCTTTTACTCCCTTACCATACAAAACCAGCAACCCCAACCACATCTAGGTAAAAGGGAGAGTCCTCTGCTCAACAAAGCTAACATCCTTCTATTTCTTCCTTTCTCGTCCTTACAATTTTGATATACATCTTTGGCTACTCGTGTGTGTCTGTGTGTGTGTGTGTGTGTGTGTGTGTATGTGTGTATGTGTGTGTGTGTGTAGAGCATAAAGGCCTGGGTTTTTGCTAACTGTATGCCTTTTTTATCTGATATACTTCTCTCATAAAAACATGTTTTGTCTGTTTTATCCCAGCACAAAGCAGATGCACTGCATATGTTAGCTGACTCTGGTCCTTCTCTAATAACAGTGATGGGAAATCCAGGCAAAGAATGTGTTGTTTTCACTAATACTGCTCTTTAAATCTCAGCCGATAAAGTGTCAGCTAATGAACCCCTGGGTCCCAGGCTTTCACTGGGGCCTCCTAAAATACACAAAACCAAAATGAAGGCAGGACACCATTAGCACTACATAATTCAAGCAAACAAATGTGTTTACACTGCCTGGCTACTGACCACCTGCCTTCCCATCCTACAAGGCAGGTATCTATATATGGGATGTCCTGTTCACAGCCCTGCAGGCAGTGAGTCTCTTCTTTAAGCCTCTCCATCTGTGAATCTAAAAGACGCTTGGGACCCTGATAGCATGCATCTCCTCTTACTCTGGCTGCTGGTGCTTCTGCCTCTGGGGAGGGCTGCCTGGCCCCTGGATGGCCGCCAGAGTCAGAATTCCGTTTCTCTGGTGCTCCTAGAAAGGAATCGCAGGGAGCTTCCCATGGGCAACCATGAGGAGGCTGAGGAGAAGCCAGATCTGTTTGTTGCAGTGCCACACCTGATAGGTGCCAGTGCTGCAGGGCAAGGCCACAGACAGAGAGAGAAGATGCTGTTCAGGTTTAGCAGATTCTGGAAGAAATCTGAGAGAGAACTGCACCCAACCCAAGACCCTGTCAATGAGCACTTTCCACTTGGGACTCAGGCTCTCACTCAGTCAAAGGATCGGATGCAAATGAAGAAGTCTCCTCTTCAGGAAGAAGCCAAGAAATTCTGGCACCACTTTATGTTCAGAATGAGTCCGGCTTCTCAGGGAGTCATCTTGCCCATAAAAAGCCATGAAGTGCATCAGGAGACCTGTAGGACAGTGCCTTTCAGCCAGGTATCTGTTCCTGGGGGAAAGAGGGGGCAAGGGTTGGCAGGAAGGGGGTGGACAGCTGGGACAGATGGAGAGGAGGGGAAGAGGCTGTCAGCATCCCGTGTCTTGCCTAACTCCCAGACTTGGTCCTTGGGTGTTCATCATAGGATTTGACAAAGTATGATTATACTCCCTAAATTTCTTTCTAAACTTATCATTCATTGTTTCTTGGTATTCAGGAAATGCTGCGAGAACGGTGTGGCTGTACTGCCAATATTAGTAATCATTCATATTAATGGCACACAGCTTTGTTTAATGTGGTTTTATTTATTTATTTTTATAAGGGCGTTGGTCTATCCAGAGATATAAATAAGACTGTACCTTCAGTTAGGAGACTGGGGATTTAGAGCCATCACCAGAATTCTCTCTAGAGAATTCTGTACTCTGTACTCTATAAGGATGTGTGTGATCAGGTCAACTTTATCTGTAGATAGGTGGGATACACTGGACTCCTCCCCAAACAATCTCATACACATGTATGTTGGTCTTAATCCCTATATTTCACATGTAATTACTTCATAGGTCTATGAAATATGTTAAGGTTGCCAGGCAAAGTTGCCACATCATTCCTAGTATTACCATAGCAAAAATGGTTTAACTTATTTTCTCGTAAGCTTTTAAAAAATACTCTTGATGTGAAATTACATTTCTCCCCTTAGTAATACCTATCTCCTAATTCATGTTGTGTTGGTTGATTTGCGGTTATCGTGATTGATTCCGCACTATTAAAATGAAGAGGTATTCTACTATCTTCTTCCTCCAGTCAGTTCTGGCAAGCCTCATGTTCCAAATGTTAAATTAAAATTGAAAAATTGCATCAGGTCCTTAAACATAAAGATAGCGAACCAAAAGCAATGTAGGGTAGACTAAAATTTTACAGTCCAGTAATGCTACCCAATTAAGCAGGCAGTATTATAAGGTAATTGACTGTGCACGGCAGTAAAGCATTCTGCCTGAAAGGGCAAGGATGTGTAGCAATGACAAGTCAACTATCAAATAATAATGACCGCTTTGTTGGCCACATGAAATTAGAAAATTGCTCCTAAGAATCATGAAATCAAATTTCCTTTGAAACTATTATTTTACATTCTATTGCTAATTAAATAAAAATTAAGGTGCTCAACTAACATATTTTGAAGGGCATATAAAGCTAGGGGCATGGGGCTATGGGAGAGGCAAAGATGATGTCATGCATGATGACTTGCAGGCTTATGTGTTGCAACTTTGCTCCATGCAACTTCATAGATTTGAATGTGCTATACGCCCTGCAGAATAGGATGGAATTAAACTCATGATGTTCCAATTTTATTTTATGAGCAATCGAACAAACTTATGTCGAAAATCTATTATGCACATGCACTGTGAGGAATCAAAAGGTAAGGCACGTTACTTACATAAGAAGTCAGGCATTAGAATGTTTTCAACTGGCAACACCCAATTAGACAAAATTTCTTAAAGTTGGCATTTAAAAATTAGTGTAAAATATTTTCACATTAATGTAGAGATTTCTTAAAGGCTAATTTATTAATTTACTCAATAAAAGAAATATTTAGTTGAGGTGGTTTTTGCCCTTATAGATACCATCACTTGTATTGCAAAATATCCAAAATTGGAAGGTTTTTGAAACTTTAAATTATTCTCAGACTTACAGTGGATAGCTTCTGCATCATATATGTTAGTGAGATTATGCAAAATAATTTAATGGAGATGTGTTTGCCTTTTAGAGTATCACCCATGAAGACTGTGAGGAAATAGTTGTACAGAACAATCTTTGCTTTGGGAAATGTGGGTCTATTCGTTTTCCTGGAGCTGCACAGCACCCCCATACCTTCTGCTCCCACTGCTCGCCTGCCAAGTTCACCACGATGCACTTGTCACTGAATTGCACTGGCCTTGGCCCTGTGGTCAAGGTGGTGATGCTGGTAGAGGAGTGCCAGTGCAAGGTGAAGACAGAGCACCACGAGCATGGACACCTCCTACAGGCAGGCTCCCAGGCAGAATTTCCTGCCCAGGATCCTTTCACCCCAGGATTCTCAACTTAAAAAGCTATCCCACTATTGCTTTGGAAAAGCAAAACCACAATAGCAAAGTTGCTGATTATTCGGTGGAAGTTTTCAGTGGGTACATATTTTAAGGGAAAGGTGATTTAAAAAGCAGTACGATAGAAAAATGTAAAGAAATTGGTACTGATTTGGTATCTAGTTTTGGCTCTACTATTGATCAGCTGTAGAGTGTTAACAGTAGTAGAAGCTTTCTCTGCCTCAAGATTTTCATCTATAAACGGAACTTGAACTAAATGATTACTGAAGTCCTTTCCACTACTGATATTCCATAATCTATTGTCACTGAGTTTTTGTAAAAGCCCTGCACCTGAAGAAGGAAGAGAAACTAGACCACAAAAACCAGCTTCTTTAATAACTTGTCAAAGCACCAGCAAATGTATACATACATAAAATTTGTGGAAAGGCCTCCTCATACTTATAGCTGTCATCGCATCTGAGGCAGTTTTATTTGACTTCTATCAGATGATTAAGTAGTTCCATGTAAGGAGTAACTTGTTTGGTTGCTTCCTTATTTTTGATACTCCCCATATAAAGTTCTTAACGTCAGCTTTCTGGCTTTGAAGAAGGAAGATCGATGTTACTTTTAGTGCTTTACGTAGAGAAAAGGAACAATCAATGATAGCCAAACAAGTACCTATATTATGGAGAAGGAAAAATACATGACCAGTACCAGGTTTAAAGGTCAATCCAGAGACATCAATGAAAGTAACCAAGGAACTCCAGTAGATGCCAAATTAAACGAACTGCAAATGATTTAAAATTGAAACATTTTATAGGTGAAATCCTTTATCCATATATATTTTGGGTTAGGTAGTAAGGTTCTGTGTCTGAATGACTTTTTTTTGCTATTGTATAAAAACTCTGTATTACAAATTTTATTCTACAAATGTCACAATTGCAAGTTCTGAAAATATTCTGACTATCTTAATGTATTAAATTTTAGTGTATGACGCAATCTGGGAACTGTCATGGCATTCAATTGTCTTATATTTTGTCCTTATTTGTTTTGTCTGTCCCATAATTTAAAGGTACTATCTAGAGATTACCTAACTAGATGCATTTGTGAAATGGATTCAGAGGCTAATGACAACGGCCCAAGTGTTTTTTCTGACACTTCAAACAGCTTTCTGTTAAGGTCCTTCAATCACTGTCTTCTGTAATTACATTTCTCCTTCTGTATTTATTTATATGCATGTGTTGTGCAGAACTGGCTTTCCCGAGCCATGTTTCTTTTTCTATAATCATTCTTTAAAAATTAGTCTTAAAAATTATTTTTATTTTAATTCTTTGGATTGCTTAATTTTCAGTATATTCATAAAAAGTATTTCCCAGAATAATGATTATTTTCTAAAAAAAAAAAAAAAAGAAATGAATGTATATTTTAATTCTATCACTCTTTAATCACACTGTCTAACCTGGTGTTCTGAAGAAGCAAATGCATTTATATTTAGTGTATATTTTACAACACATCAATGTAATAAAATATGTGCTACACAGATACGCATGTGGCATTTACATCAATGTGTATTATACTCTTTGGTGGTCAAAGACAACCTAATTGGCCAAGATATGGTCATAAGGATACAACTGTTAAGCATTAATGATATCCCAGCTGGTCAATATATTTTGGTGCCAAAAGCTATTGAGCAGCTGTCTAGTTTGCAATTGCCTAACCCCGATTATGTAAACCTATCTCTGCCAATCCAACTATCCTTCCCCTCCTTACACACTTGCAAATCCCTTTTATCTATTCTTGCAAATACTCCAGCCCAAGCCTCAATCATCAGCTTTATTCAAAGGCTGGTCTGCCCTTCCTCACAGGTGAATTCAAGATGAAGTAGCTGATAGTGGTATCAGAACTTACATTAAGAGTAATAGCATAAGCCTCACGAATTGCCCATATTCAACCATTTTTACTTACAAAAGAGACAATTTCCAACGG